TGGTCCACACACTACGTCTGCCTCCACTAGGTTCTCCCTCTCATTTTCTACATTTAACAGATTTTTGAAGTACTCCAGCCATCTTTGCTTGATCTGTTCTTCTTTAATCAAGACTCTGCCTTCTCCATCCTTGAGTACCGCCACCCGGATAATATATTTTTTCTGTCTCGCTCTATGTTAACAGTAAACAGTACAATGAGCTAAATATACTGGTAAAAATAGTGTGTGAATTTTTGCATCATTTCTCTGTTGTGAAAGTGCTGACATCTTTAGTTAAGTTCTTTGCTTTATCTTTTTAATTAAAATTACAATTAAGAATGACCTTTAAAGGTCACATTGAATTGAGGGAAAAAAAACTAGACAGAGTCTTCATGCTTAGAATGTGCTTCTTTCATCATACATTTTATAACAAGGATAGAGGCACACAAATGAATATACACAGTGGCACGTAACACAGATTCGTTAAGCTACAACATGACAAAGTGTGTTTATCAGGACTCTGCTGAAGCAAAAGTTTTAAGAGTTGTTTTTTTCTTGTTGTGATATATTAATATAATAATCCTTCAACCAGCGCAAGGCCAGTGTTTAAATCCTCTAAGATAAGTTATTCCCATGCTGACTTTCAAACATGCCAGTGCATCAGTGCAAATAATATTTTGCACCTTAGTTTAAGCTTTTCATGTTTTTTTTCAAGAATGCAAAAATGTAACAGATCACAATACAGACTTAATTTCTTCTTTAAAGTTCCTTTTTGTGAGTGGGCAACTTAATAGATAGATATCTATAATAAATAAATATCGATAGTTACAGAGAAGCAGGTGTGATATTTTTTGTTGTGATTTTAATGAGTTCATGAATCTTGGAAATTTACAACAGGTCCCACTTCTCTTGAATGTGTCAAATTTAATTAAAAAAATACAACAGGTGAATAAGAAAATGTGCTGAATTTAATATTCTAGACATTCAGAAAACAAAATGAACTTAACTAAGTAAATTCAGCACATCAGTGATGGAATTCATGCTGTTACAAACTTGTGGTTGTTAAAACTACAGACAGAATAAGAAATATCAATCAGATCAGTACAGATAAAAGTCAAGTACTAATATCAGCTTTCTGTGGAAGAAAATTTATAAAAATTAACGTTTTCTCTTTAAGTGGATGCTAAAAAAATGGGAATCCCCTTCATTATTCAAAGCAATGCATCACCAGACAATAAGATTTATTTTAGCCTGAAGGAAAAAACAAAATGGAAACCAGTTTTTTTTTCCCCAAAACAGAAAACAAGTCAATTTCTTAAGGGCTAGAGTCTGGTACTTGTAATGGTCAAATTACTTGGACAGAAATTGTTCTCCTCTGTCTTCCCTTTCTGGTACCTCTCTGTGACTGATGTTTTTATTGTGTCATCTCTATTGATGTTCTAAAAGGGCTCACTTAATGATTTCACCATTAAGTCAAACTTGATTTTGTCTTGAGTCAGAAAGATAAGTACAGCTATTTTGGCAACCTGGATCTGCTGCCATTGTGACTCCCTCATGAGAGAGGGACAGATAAGTGGACAGCTTATGAAATTACTCTTCAGAGATGTCCGTTGTTTGCTCTTTTAAGAAGAGTTGATTTTGATAGGAATTCCAAACTCATAGTAGTATTCAAGCAGTCTAAGCTGAAAGCATTGTAGCCATAGGAAGCATATTCAGCCTTAAAGCATGGGCAGCATGGTGGCAAAGTGCCTAGCTGGGACCCTGGGTTCAATTCCAGACTTAAAGTGCTATCTGCTTGGAGTTTAGATGTTTGCATTGGTTTTCCTCAGTGTGACTCAGTTTCTTCCCACAGTATAAAAAGATACTGGTAGGCTTCTGGGAAAACTGGTCCTGGTTTGAGTGTGTGTATATCTGTGTCCATGTTTATGACTGAGTGTGCCCTGCAGTGGATTGGTGTCCCATCCAGGATGTGCCCTGCCTTGTGCCTGTTGTTTGCTGGCATATGCTCCAGCATCCTGAGTAAGAAGAAGTGGTTCGAAAATAGCTGGTTGGAAATCCTTAAAAAAAGAAGTCATACTGCTTCAAGAAATCTAACAATTACGCTCACCAGAACACTATTCACAAAAATTAGATATTAAAGCACAAACCCAGCCCTAAAACCTCATGTTACTAGCATATACATACAGTATAATAAAGTATCACTTCTGAGGTGTCTCTCAAAATATAAAAAAAAAAAAAAACGTTTTAAAAGTTAGGACAGTAAAGTCAAAACTCTTAGTTTTGCTTTACTGTCATGCAATTTGTATTTGTAATTCTGAAATTAATATGTATATGAATGAATTGATATGAATGATAAGCATAGTGTAATTTGCTTTATTTTTAGAATATTGACACATTTAAGGATCTCTGAACACCTGTATGATCAAAATGCTTGAGAGGGATATTTCTCTGTTCAGTGACTCAACAGTTACATGTTTCACATTGTAAGGGTATCTCTCTGGCTGGTGGTGTAATCATAAGAAGACATGTTAAACTCAGTATCCCCTTCGATATTTCTAGGGTTGGTAAGACTGGGACTTATAGTAGTTTTATCTTTCAATCCTGCCTCATAATTTGTAGCGCTGTGGAAATGTATGCCTTCATCTGACAGACAAATCCGAGGTGAGATCCATGCAGAGAAGCATAAATCTGTCTTTCACAAAATCAGGCGGTGCCTGGTAGACACAGTGGGATCCTGGCAGGTTAGTAAATTGGTAATGACATATAATACTAAGCATTTCCATTGCTTCAGTGAGCCTTTGCAAGAGCACGAGATTAATTACAATATGCTGGGCTGTTGTTGCACCTGCCATTCACTGATGCTTTGAGGCAAAACTTGTCACTGCGCATCACACCCCAAATTTAGCACTTCTTCACGGGTGGAGCGCTCTTATTTCTGTGATGCAACGGTAATGATGCAAAATTGCTTTGTAAAACCTGTCTGTGCGTTTACTTTGCCTGTCACAATATCCCATGTTTTTTCATACCTCTGTCTGCTGTATTATAGTCATCTCTGTTTTTCGTAGTTTACTGTACTTTTACTATGGTATGCCACAATAAACCTTAAGGATATTTGTGAGAAATTATTTGCAGGGGAATATCAACATAGAGAGTGTAACAAAAGGAAAATCAAAGCAATGTTGTGGAAAAGGTGAGATATTTCCACAGTCATTTGAATACCAAATACTTGACATCATATTCAACTTTTCAGATTTGTTATGAATAAGAGAGAATGTCAGTGGCTTTAGAGCACCTCACACTAACACACATACAGTATGTAATTTGGCTCCTGTTCGACTAAGCTGGTAAAGGCATTCACCCAGGCACAGATTGAGTTCTGTGGTCCAGGCATCAAAGCTTGGTCCAACTGCGATCAAGATTATGGTCAGATTAGTCAGTCAGGGTTCCTTTTGACACAGCTTCCCAGGTGCATGTGGTGTAAGAGAAGTGCCTCTCCTTCAGTCAGTGCCAAATGTACGATACAGTGCTCCATTTTCCACAACTTATGAAAAAAAAAAGTTCAGAGGAACTGTTGTGCATTGTCATTTATGAGAAAACCACTCTTGTGGCTTCTGTTCTCCATTATTAAGACCTTCATGTTTGTCTCCTCTAAACGTATAATAAAGAAGGTTTGCCCTAATAGCACAACTATGTGTGCTAAGACTTTCTTTGTAAATCTAGCATATTGCCCATAGGATCTCAACATAGAACGCATTGTTGTACATGGCTGGTTTTCTCGATGCCGAGTCTTTTCCAATCACTTGAGATAATCAGAATACCTTCCCCAGGGATTCCCCAAGTGCTGGCACACAATTTGCTCAATGTCAAGGGTGGCGGAGTAGGGATTATTAAGATTACACTCTCTCAGATCTTGGTGAAACGGCAAACCCTACTTCTGCCTGGGCACTTAATGCTAAACTTGCTTTAAAAAAAGATACATCTGCAAAGGTTTCATTCATGAAACAGTAGTACCTTGCAAGTTAAATAGATTCCAGAATATAAAAATGAGCAATTTTCAAACCAAGAGGAAACCCCCAAGGCAACTGTCAATGTAAGGTGATATTGTACTGCCCTGGAGCCAGCAGTGAGTTTGTTTATATATTTATTCTTTTTATTATACAATTCAACTTCATCTCTTGCTAGCTTTGTAACCCTGTTTATTTTGTTTTTACGTTGAGGAGCTCAGCTAAGCTTTCAATATATTTCCTTCTACCTATTTATTTGCAGGATCTGAAAATTAAGAGTAAACAGTGAACACATGTGAACAGATGATGAGATCTGGCTTGGTTTTTTATGTGCCGGGGCGTTTCAAATGAGTCAGAATCATCTTTGAGCCAAACAAAAGTTGCTGGGCAAAATTTTCTGGGAAGTATGTGTCAACCTCCTTCTATTGGTGCAAGGCTGATGATTACGGTTTTCCCTTCACCTTAATGATGTTGCTCCAGATGAGCTCTGGGGGTGTGTGCATAGTAATATATCTGATATTTATCATTACAAGACGCTGAGATGTTCTAAATCCTGGGGATTCACCTTTTACCTTTTTTTCCTCAGGAGCACAGCGGCCATTGGCCATGGTTGCTACTGCTTTGCACTGCTTCGATCCATACCAGCTGCAGCCTACATCATTCTCGTCACAGCGCTGCGGTACCACTTGTTCATCTGGAGTGTGTTCTCCCCAAAGCTCCTCTACGAAGGGATGCACACACTTGTGACCGCAGCCGTCTGCGTTTTCTTCACTGCCATGGATCAGAATCATGCTGTGAGAACCTGAAATGTCCTGAAACAAAGATGTCGCAACAGAAAGTGGGCAAAATGGCAATAGTCGGTGGGGAAATGTATAAGGGCAAATTGTGGGTGATGTGTAAATGTAACTCATTATGAAAGTGGAATAGAACTGGTTCCGTTTTTGTGATGCATACAAAATATTATTAAATGAAAATCAAGGAAGTTAATGAGGCCCAAGATCTACAAAATATAGGCACATTGTCTGATTTTTTTGTAAATTCATTAATGTTGATTTAGGTCAAAGAGCGTTCTCTTTTAATAAATTCAGGATTGTTTTTCAATGTAGTAGATACAAAATGTCCAATAAAATGTAACCATCACTATGTCCCCTGTTTTGTGGAATCCTGAGGTATACTGTGGACATCAGTAACTTAATACCTCTAAATCTTACATTCCATAACACTAAATCATTAGGTCAATGGAAATGTAGTTCACGTTTTTGGAGCTTTTACCCATAAAATCCACAAAAAAATGTTTTGGGTAAATGTGCTGTGTTTAGGTGTCTTGATTTTCAAATAAGATCTACTCACACACAAAGTTCTGATTGATGGTCTTATGGACATGTTTGTAAGAAACAGGAAATATCTTTATAAACTTATCTGGTGTTTAAAGAACGACTAAAACAATATCACAAAAATGAAAATATTAACATATTTAGTTCAAGTAGGTGGGGTTTCCCTCTCCTTCTAACGTCTGAAGAAGGCTCCACAGGTGAAACATTGTGTTTCTTTTCTTCTCTTTTCAGCATGGAATAAACCTTTACTTGTTCCTTATTAGCCACTTAATTTCACTATAAGTTTTCATTTCCTATGTCATTAGTTCCACTGTGTCATTAGTTCCATTGTGTCTTGGAGCTCAATTTGTAATGGTTGTAAAATCTAAAAATGCTGGAAGCCCAAGAGGCTCTTACCTTGTTGCTTGAATGATGTCACTCCTGAGACCCAGTATCTCATTCAGTATGCACATTTCAGAGTGAAAAATGAACCTCAATAATAATAACACCGTTGAATTCATAGATGGATAAAACTGTAATGTCACAGGATGGGACTAGTAACCTCACTGAATATTAATATTGATGGGAAGATGGAGTGTATGGGTAATGTTAATACTTTAAGTTTAATTAGACAGTACTCAAACCCCTTCAAGAATTGTTATTTAAATATGCCTTTTTACATTCAGAAGGTTGGCTTTGGACTCTTTACAGGAATTAAAATGCACTTCTTACCTAGAGTACCTCATATTTGTTTGTAAAGCAGGCATCTTAACACCACTAACATTTATCTCTAGCCCTCTGACTCTAGCAGGTTGTTTATATTTTATAAATTATTGTGCTCATTCTGTAATATTTTGTACTGTATGTGGACAAAGTTTGGGAAAATATATTTTTTTCCCCCAATAGCAGAACATTTACCCTCCACTCCTCACTCCTGCCCTCTGTGGTATCTGAAGTTCTTCCAAAATATTAACAATAATAAAATATTTAGTGTTTTTTAATGCCTTGTGCACCTCAGGGACATCTGTTACAGCTGTCCCATGTGATTCCTTTCACTGGTAGAATGTTAAGAGACAGACTGAGATCTATATCACAATGCATCCAGTTACATGTGCTGTGTTGCCAGGCCCTTACCATATTAATAATGTAGTAGTTGCAGTAATTGCCTGCATTGCAACCCATTCTAGTCGTGTACATGGATATATTTATTAAGCAAAGTACTAGATATTAGTATTTTTATCATTAACAATGGAGGAGGAGGTTTTCTATCAGAAGGACCACTGTAGCTGGAGAATAGAATAACAGTGTGAATAATAAAGCTGGCTCAAACTGCAAACATGTTTAAAGTATACCACTGGAGTATACTCTGCGTTTATATACTTATATAAGAGACATTCTTGAGCACCAGAATATGAAGAAGTACACAAGAATTAGAAGTACAGTGAAATATTCCCATAAGAAAGACTATTTTTGTTGATGAACAATTAGATTTACAAAGAATTAAAATTGCATTTTCTCTTTATATTCACATAGTGAAACTCAAACATGGTTTTAAACTGTTAGAGATGAATTCTCAAAAATAAGCATACAAAACAAATAAGATCAGTGTCCAGTTAAATAGCTTACTCAAGCAACAAAGACTATGGAGACTATAGAGAATGAACTGTAGATTAATTTATCCATTCCTTTTAAAATGAGCACACTGGTTTAACTTATTCAAGCTTAAATATATTTATATTTTATGATTTACATGTCCTAATGAAACACACCAGTTTACAGGTTTTGGGGATAACATGAAATGATTACAAGAAGAGTGAAACTAGAAAATGGTGGATGTCATTATCTTCTGTCAGTCAATAAGTCTCTAGTTGCATTGCAGATTCCTTCCGATGTCCTACGGTATGCAATCTATAAACGTTTTTTTCTTCTACAAAAAGCTTTAAAAGAAGCCCTCATTAAAAACAAATTAAAAAAAAACATTTTATAGTCTTGTGGAGAATAAATCTATTTACTGTTTGTTAGTATATTTTACAGTTTCTATGACAGACTAAACATTTATATTTACAAATTTTAGCTGAATAGAGAGGTAAGGAGCCTATTGCTCAAATACAAATACAATAAGAACTGTATGCTGTACCAGGTAAGATTGCAGTATGAGAAGAGGGATAAAAAGGAAACTAAGGTATTTAACAGGCTAGGAAGAATAGCCTTTGTAAAAAGGTTCTCCTATGTTCCAATAGAATCACATTGGTAAATTTGTACTCCAGGGTGAATAACACTGCAGGTCAATGCAAACAGACAAATGTTGATTAATATGTGAAACAAATACTAAAATCTAAAGAGCACAGTTTCACATTTGGCTGCTTTCCAAATAAAATCAAGGAAGACCTCTCTGCAATCCAAAGGATAGACCACTTTCAATGAGTGGAACTCAGGTTAAATGCAACTGTATCCATGGGAATATCTCCCAAAGTGAAAACTGCAAATACAACAAGTCTCAATGTAAATGAAACTTGGCAAACGCTGAACTGAAGGACTGTTAGAATGAAAACCAATCCTGTTAAGCCCAGGGCAGTCCTGAAAACAGCATTACTCTATGTTCTGTATAAGAGTACAGGTTTCAAGAATATTTGAAAATGGTATGGAAAATAAATATATTCATGAAAGTTTACTGCTAATATAGTGTACAGCGCAATCCAAGTTTGGAAACATGCTGTATAATATGAAAAGATAAGATTATTATACTGTAGATTTAGGGATGCAAAGTTAATAGGGAATAGAGATTACTTAAAAAATGAAATAATTGTATTCTCTTCCCTAGCATCTCTGTACTTTGTGTTCCAAACAGTTGAACAGCACTGTATCCTGCATTTTTAAAAAGAAAACTGAGAGTAAATTAATTTTCAAACATAATGAAACGTGTGCCAATGTGTATTTCAATTGTATGAAAAATGATCAATTTATGCTAATGTAATGGTTTTTTTTTTCAAATTCATTTCTTTTTGTTTTAGTATATCATCAAAATTGATTTCTGGACAGTCTTTAATTCATTTTTATCATCTAGTTGCCAGAAAATCACTTATTCCAGGTCAGGCACACAGATACCTAGATCGATTCAGAAAGCAAAGGGTACAAGGCAGATACTGGGTACACTCTGGAGAGAATGTCAGAAGTTACACATGCATACAGGTTATTTAGAGTCACCAATGCCTTTTGAAGGTGAATTTTGTCTCTGGACAGGGGGAGAACAGGGAAACTCCATACAGAAAGCACCCAACTCTTAAACTGAACCCAAGATCTGTGTGGCAGTTGCATGAATCATAGTACCACCTGAAACTGAATTCAGAAATAGTAAAATTACAAACTTCAATCGAGTTTATAAAACCACCTTTAATAGCAACGTTTTACAGAAACGAGAAAGCTGTTAATACAAGTTTGGCTTTTAGCATCAGGCAGAGAGGACTATGATGATCTCCAGATCTGGGAAAAGTTGCTTTTGAAATATTACAGTTACTTGCACAATTGGTTTCTTTTTTTTTAATAGGAAATTGCTTTCAAGAAGGATTGTGTTTCTTAAAATGGTAACTTTACACACTGCATCCCTTTAACTGATGACAAATCATTTTCCCTCCACTCCTTTATTTATTAAATTATTTTAATAAAATATTATATTTTATATTTCTTGATACAGAATAAAAAATACTGTTTATTAAATTGTAAACATAACTGTAAAGGAATTAATAAATGTGATGTACTGTATGTGGATTACTTTTGAAAAGTAACCTAACACTGATCTCATGGTAGTAGAGTCACAGAGTAAAGGTTATAAAGTCCTGAACCTTGGAATAAATCTGTTAATGAAATTATGTTGAATGAGAGGAGAACCTGTCGTCTGTAAGGAAGATAAAATAAAATTGTATCATTATTATATTAACAGCACACCAGGAATTGGAAATGGGTTCCTTCTAGACTTTTGACAAACCAGATGTTTTAATGTCCAAACAATGGTTGAAAGATAATATTAAGTTTTTTCCATATTTTTCATATTCCTGCTTACCTTACAAAATAGTAAATGTTTATCATTCCATACAGGCAAATGAACACATGTACCTTTCAAAGGCTTATGTAGTACATTGTGTTTGTATCTTCAGAGGGTTGTCAGATTCAGTCATGATATTTCTGCTTCCTCTGACCTTCCTCTGGTTTGCCAATTTGAGCACTGAAGTCCTATTGGTGCTTGTAGGCATCTCTTCCCCTGTCAGTGCCACATTGACTAATAATAAAAAGGAAGCTTTTTACTCATTGGATGATCCTCTAAAGCAATACTGACTGAAGTCCTTATGGGTACAATAATCTATGGCTCATTCAGGTTGAAAATCCCCCATTATTTCATCAGAGGCTTTCTGTTTCTCTCCAGCCAAAAAAAAAACTAAATATAACCCCAAGAGTGTACGACTGACTTTAAGCAGGGCACAGCATCCAGTTTAATGAATATAAGCAGTTGAGATCCGTTAAAACAATTTCATTATATACTGTAGAATTCAATACAGGCCTTGATATGTTGGTAAATTCAAATAATAAAGTATACCACATTGCTAACATTATTTGCACTGCTGGCGGTATAATTCTACATTGTTCAGTTTTTTATTCTAAATGTAACTATTTTTGTTCAGTTACAAATTTTTAGTTTGCTTTGTTTACGATTTTAGGAACTGAAATCACTGAATAGGGTATAACTCAGTTTAGATCCTTAACCACAAAAAGGCCGGCAGAATCCTCGTGATATTAATTGAGCTTACTTTACTCCTCTTTGCTTAACATACCAAGGGCACTGCAGGAATTTCATCCTTTGAAATGTGGAAAAGAGGGTTTTTTTTGTATTGTCCAGGGGCTGCTCTTCTGCGGGTTTCACAGGTTTTTCTATTGTATTATAAAGCTTTCGAATTTCTGGGGTTATTTTGGTTTTATGTACTTTGTTCTTTTCATTTGTTTTTCTCCAGTGCAACCTTGTCCACATCTCCCAAACCCCAGAACAATCTTTATTTTGTTTCAAAACGCCAGGCTGCTTAGCATTAAAAGATCACTATGAAAGAAAGAACATGGTCTGTGCCACTTTTTGCCTACTTCTCACTTATCATAAGTATCAAAGAAAACAGAGGCTGCCCTTTTCACAGGTATTTTCTTTTAAATTTAGATATTTTTTTAAGAAATAAAATACAATTACAATAAGCAGATGGAAAAGTAGGATTCCATGCAGCAATAACGAAAAACTACCAGTTTTTTTCAATGCAGTTTTTAGTTCTGCTTTGCAAATAAACCTATTCATGAAGCTCATTCACTAAAAGGAGACGAGCTAATCCTTGTATAATTCTGCATTCCAAAGCTTTCTGTTTTATGTGTGTAGGCACGTACCTGTGATATCCTGATTCGCTCTGGCAAATCTTCTGAAAGTTATGTTATTCTTTGTGAAACACTTGGCTTTAAATAAAAAAACAACAAGAAATCCACATCACTAATCTTACACTTTACTTTCAAATGAGCCCTCACATCCTTTGACATAACTTTGTTAAATAATTTATGTCTTGGGATGTTTTGGGGATCAGCATATTGTTTTTGAATTATTGTTAATGTAGCCAGGCTTTTGTGGTTGCAGTCATGCTATCTGCAGATCCCTGTATGTGGCCAACAATTCTAACTTGTGCTGTGGTATTTAAACTGGTAAGCACAATACAGAAACTAAATAATAAGTACCTACCCACCTAAGGTGTATTTTTGATAATTGCAGTTACTGTATGTACATTTTTGTTTGTATTCTTTGCTGAGTCTTTCTTGGTTTTTTATTATATTAATTGTATTAATTACCCTATGATGTCTTCCATTCTGGGTTTTGTGTAATCTTGTATTTTCCAGGCATTTTCTGGTTTGTTTTTGTCTTCTCCGTTTATTTTTCTATGCATTATTTCATAATTTACAACTAAGCATTTTGAGAAAATAATTTGATTGGACTTTATGTATTTTTGTGCAATGTTACTGTTAAATATAGCATGTGAATGCAATTTGCACTGATTTGGATAATTCATTTAATAGTGAAAGGCTTTAAAATAAATTGACTTGAACAAAAATTCACCCTGTATTTTTATTTGAACATTTCCACCATTCCATTTTAAGTTACCTGTAAGAAACATGGTCAAATCGATTATTATTATATAAAAAATAACTGTATATATACAGTAGAAATATGTTTTGCCTAAATGTACTGAGAGGCATAAAGCGCAACAAAATTGTATTAATAAGTACTTTATCTACTGGTGTATATAAAGTACTGTACTTATCTGATGCATTTTAATACATCCCAGTATAGAGTAAAGTATAGGGTAAGTACTTAGCATTGTATCGACAATCATTAGGATTGTAGCCAAGTGACCTCTTTGATAAGCAACATACTCCAAGTCTGACACAGTGAAGGACATTGTTAACTGATCCATTCAGTAACAGTTCCCGCACAGTAATTGTGTAAAATGATTCCTCTCAGTCTGGTACCCAAGACTATGGGTCAGAGGTTACTGTCAATCACTCAAAGAATGACCAACTAATGAGAAAACCACAGAATGATTAGTAAGTAAAAATACTATATATCTGTTTACTCTTGTTTGTTTGCTATGCATATTTTGGTGTTATATCTGTTAATCACATATGGTATATACTGTATAGAATCTATGTATGAGTGCCTTTTATTGTGCTTGATTCCTAATTGCCATCAAAGCAGTCTATTTACTGTTCCCATTTGTAATTAAGTAAATGTAAAACCCTCACATTACTACATTAGTAAAACGACAATAAGGAATGGACTATTTCATATTTCACTTTGTTCTTAACTGAGCTTTGAAGTCCTCTAATACAGTTTACTTGCTTAGCAGGATGTTTCCACAAAAGATGGATATGAAATCATCAAAATTGAGGTGGAAAACATATTCTTCAAATTGAAAAGATTGAAGAAGAAAACCCAGGCTTTATAGAAATCCACACAGTTCGTGCTAATGACCTAATTGCAAGTACAGGTTTTAGTGTTATTTCTAGTGTTTATTTCTACAATTTAACACAAACAAGATTTAGTGGCTGTGTACATTTTCTTAACTTTTTGGCTGGGAAGTCATAATCAAATGTAAAGGCTTAATGGAAAATATATATTTTTTTTATGTAACAGCTGTTATATTAATTTAAGTTGAAGTTGAATTGTAATATAATAATGAATGTGTCATAGCCATAGGATGATGTAAAGTGTTTGTTAGAGAAACTGAGGGTTTATTAAGTATATACAGTATCACCACCAGAAACTGTATCATCAAGCAAATCAGGACCTTTAGCCTGTTATGTGCAACCTTCTCATCAAAACCAAATACCGATCTTTTTACTATGTTTACCATGTGCCTTCTTGCTTCATTTGGAATTTATAGTTTTGCAGTTTTGATCTATCTCATGCCATATTTTAGCTGGGCAAAATATTCTTTATTATTTCTGAAGTTAGATCTAGTACTTAGTTATATATTTTCTAAAAACTGCAAACACATAAGAGTATTTGTTCACTTAACATCTAAAGCCAACAACTGAATTATTTTGCTTGGAAGTTAGAACAGCTCTGATTCTTTGCCACGTTATGATAATGTTAAGATCGCTTGTGCACATTGTGCATTCTAACTACTGTACATTGCACTCTGTTTACTGTTTTCCTTGTATTTGAAGTATTTGAAGGACAGAAGTAGAACAGAGCCACTCATGAATATGTATTAAAAACACATAGGATTATATATTATGTAACATGGTGTCAGTCTGCTATCATTTGGTTTTTATATTTATTTTTTATAAGTATATAACACATTAAATATAAGTTATGTATTTTAGCTGGGTTTTTTTTAATCTTCACTGTTCTCATTCTGAGGCTTGAAGCTGTTGGAGTTGTTGACTAAATCAGACTAAAGAGGCCATAGAGGAAATGGCTATGATTACCACCTCTCATTGTAAGATGGTTATGCTCCCTACCTGTAAAACATGAAGAGGCTCTGAATCACCCTGAAGTCTGAAATCATATACACCCTTCAGAGTATTAAGCAGGTGGATTTGTGAAGAAGCGCTGTAATGGCAAAATAAGACAAAATCTATTTGTCCAGTAGGGAATACATTTAATGGCATCAATTTCAAACAATGTCTGCAGTTTTGCATACACAATAGTATGTGCAATTGGTATAAACACAGCACCTGAACTATTCTTATTTAATTAATTGTGCAGTACCTTGTTTACATGGGCACTAATGACATAGAAGTCTAAACTTATGCAAGACATCTAGTGACTGAACTGTTGATGTATGTTCTCCACAATACAGGTAATACAAAGGATACTACATTTCTTGTATTTTTCACCTATATTTTGAATAATTGTACTTTTTGTCCCTGCAACATGTCATTTCTACCTTGAATATCAATTGTTCTGAATGGCACATCAGGTTCCATACTGTACATAGTTTCTCTGACAAAGAATAGGAAACATCAACTAGTTACAATGGAAGCATACAAGGATTGTGTCAAGGACAGCACATTCAAATGGATCAATCTTTAAACTCCTAATGAGAGTTGTCGATTCAAATTAGCGCTATTATATTATTACAAATCGGGGATTACGAAACTTGTGAAAATCAGGAATTGACCGAGTGGTTTAGTCAATCAGTGAAATAATTATTCATAACCCCCGCTACCAAGCATAAACCTCTTAATATACCTACAGAGGCCACACAAGAGATGAACTGCCTTCTAACTCAATTAAGTAAGTAAGTTAAGTAACCTGCAGTTAAATCTCTCTCTTTGCTCCCTGGATTCCACAAAATAAATGGTAGTCTATATCCCTATCCATAAAATGCACCCTAATCAGGAAAGACGTCTCAAACTGAGGTACCAGGAAACCCAACTTCCCTAAAAATACAGAATAGCACGTTCTCTCTAACAAGATTCAAATACTTAGCTCCAGTCAGGTTTGATTTGGATGATCATGAAGTAGGTGCTCTCCTCTGGCGCAAGCTTCAAATCCCAACTCCTCTGGACTCCTCTCTCTTCTCCCTGCTCCCCTTTCTCTTCCTTCCTCCTCTCTCCTTTTCCTATTCCCTTGCTTCTGTGCTCTTCAAGTGAACTTATGCTATGTCTTTCTGCTCTGCTCCTTTGCAATCATTAATCCACAACTTGCCTAGGCATACCAAGATAGACTTTACTATTGTTTCTGCTCAAGGGACCCCCCAGACCGCAACAAACATCCTCTCTGCTTGAAGTTAGAAGTGTTTACTCTTCCCAGTGTCACAAACTTTATCTAAAATCTAAGGAGACACTTCTCAAGTCACCAAAGCTGTAACAATATCTTTTAGAAAAATATTGTACTTTGCCCTGATTTTGCTAGCTAGCCTAGATTTATATATAGGTATCATAGGTTGTGGTTAATATCATGATTGATTAGTATTTTCAATTCAATTCAATTCAAGGTGCTTTATTAGCATAACTGATGGGTACAATCAGTGTTGCCAAAGCAAATAAAAATACTAAAATTAACATGGAACAAAACACAAAATAAAAGTAAAATAAAATCTACAGATCTATTACAGACATGTACAACACAGACATGTTATAAAATATTTTCATATACTGTAAACATATTGAGCATTATTGGGAGACAGGCTCACTGTTCTTCAGGCTGTGACAGGAGATCACATACTGGGCTGCCAGTTCATCTGAGTTCCCTCCTAACTCTCCCAGTAGGATTGGGACCTGTTGTGATTTTGGCAGGTGTGGGAACTCTGGGATTAGATTTCTGAATTTCGGGAAGAATGTTTCTCTAATCCCAGAGTATCTGTCATAGTGCAGTAGGAAGTGCACCTCTGTCTCTATTTCTCCCCGCTGGCAGTGGGAGCACAGCCTGTCCTCTCTGGGCAGCCAGGTCTGCCTATGTCGCTCAGTTTCTATGGCCAGGCTGTGGTCACTGAGCCTGTACTTCGTCAGGGTCTGTTTCTGTTTGTTATTTTTTATTTTGGTCAAATATTCAGCTAGTGTGTATTGTCTGTTTAGGTTTCTGTAGCATTCCAGTTTATGTTGTGTTTGTGTGTGTGTGTCCCAGTGTGTGAGATATTGCTGTTTGATCTGTGCTGTGATGTGGTTGAGTCTGGGTTGTGGTGCTCTAGCAGTGCTGTCCTGAGGCTGGTTAGGGTTGGTGTGGCTCAGGTCGGTGAGCCTCAGGACCAGCTGGCTCAGGGGGCTCTGTTTTGGGCTCAGCTCTTGGCTCAGCAGGGCTTTGTGGTGGTAGGAATTTTGGTCGCTGTTTTTTAGGTGTAGCCAATACTTTAATATTCTTTTCTGTATGTTTATCAATAGTGGGTACTGGCCTAATTCGGCCCTGCACCCGTTGTTAGGAGTTTTTCTCTACAGATCTCCATGTGCAGAGTTTCTGTGGGGTGTTTGTCCCATTGGGTGTAATCCTGGTCTGTGAGGGGACCCCACACTTCACTGCCGTATAGGGCAATGGGTTGGATTACGCTTTCAAATATTTGGAGCCAGATTCTTGTTGGTGGGTTGATGTTGAAGAGCCTCCTTCTTATTGTGTAGAAAGCCCTGAGTGCCTTCTCCCTCAGTGCCTTCACTGCCAGGTCAAAACTCCCAGAAGAGCTGATGGTGAGACTGAGATATGTGTAGCTGGATGTGTGCTCCAATGTGTTGTTGTTCAGTGTGAATTTGTACCTGTTTCCCTGAGGTCTGGCTTTCTTCTGGAAAACCATAACTCTGGTCTTGTCCAGATTGACTGTCAGTGCCCAGGTCTGACAGTACTGCTCCAGCAGTGCCAGGTTCTGCTGCAGCCCCTGTTCTGTGGGTGACAGCAGGACCAGGTCATCTGCGTAGAGCAGGAACTTGATTTCTGTGTCGTGTAGTGTGAGACCAGGAGCTGCAGACTGCTCCAACATTCCTGCTAATTCATTGATATAGATATTGAACAGTTTTGGGCTCAGGCTGCAGCCCTGTCTCACCCCGCGGCCTTGGGTGAAGAATTTAGTCCTTTTGTTTCCAATTTTCATTGCACATTTGCTCTCTGAATACATTG